AGTGATGATTATGAAAGTGATGATTATGCTGATGATGATGGTGATGATGGTGATTATGATGATGATGGTGATGATGGTGATGATGGTGGTGGTGATGATGATGGTGATGATGATGATGATGGTGATAATGATGGTGATGATGATGATGATGGTGATGGTGATGATGATGATGATGATGATGATGATGATGGTGGTGGTGGTGATGGTGATGGTGATGATTATGATGATGATGATGATGATGGTGAGGAAGAGGACGATGGTCACCGCCAAGCTTGCAACAACTTCTTCTGTTATACTTCCCCATGGTCCCCGAAAAACTGCAGGGATTTGCCACCCGAAACCCGAACCCTGCAGCAACCCCCTTTTGACAAGGTACCGGCTGTGGCAGTTGACCCCACTTGCCCTCCAAGCTGAAGGATGGCGCTTGCACGCCAGTGGCCTGGCTTCTCGGGTTTAGGGTTGGGTCAAGCCTTTGCTTCATGTAGGGGTTTAGGATTTATAGGGCTTTTTAGCAGCTGGGCAGGTGACTTTCAGTGTTTTGGGGTTTCAAGCCCGGGGAAGCTCTTAGGCCACGGAATCATTCCTTAACTTCTGCTAGCGCCTAAGGTTAAGACAATGAAAAAAACAAGACGATAACATAGCCAAAGCATGAAACAGGGTATGTTACTCCAGAAAAACAGCTGCATGAAAAATCGGCTGCGCCTGCTCCCAGGGGTAGCGCACAGCTGTCTCCTCACAAGCTGTGCCCGTGGGAATGAAGAGCAGGTCTCATGCTTTGTGGTGTGCCCTGACATCCTTTTGACATCCACTTACGCTCTTGCAACTTTGACATCCATTTAACTGCTGGAGTCCGGAGATCCTGCAAGTGTACGGCTTCGTGTTTGAACTCAGGCTTGAAATTAAAAATTAGCCTGGCGCCTGGCCGGTTGGTGGCGGAAGTCAAACTCGCACCCGGCTGTGTCGTTCACGAGTGCTGCGACATTTGCAAGAGATCGAATCTGAGACCGTTCCTAAAAGGGTCGGCGCCCGATCTCTCTACTGCCGAGGTCTCCTTCGGTCCGCCGCCAGCCACACCCACTCTTCTGTCTGGTGCTTAGTAGGGAATGAGGGAATGGATCCCTATGATAGTCCCTTAAGGTCCCGTATAGTAGCCCCATATAACCCATTCCCCCATTCCCTACTAAGCCACAACCACTCTTGCAGCGGATCTCCTCAAAACGATCCTCCTCCCGAGCCTTGAGGAGGTGCTGAATCCCGGCCTGGACAGGACTGGCTGAATTTGAAGTGCTAGAACAAGGACTGTGGGTTTCGGGCACGAAGGGTACAGGGCTCAAGAAAATTACTGGTTCACAAGAAGCTCTGCTTTGGGAGAGCTGTTTTGGACGGAATGATGGGGCTTGCGGCTTGCATCTGGCACCTCTTTTGACAGGTCCGGGCCTCCACCTGCTCTCGCACCTCAGCGTACACTGCCCCGCAGGCTGCACGGTCGCGATGGTTGAGAGCAGCCTGAGATTAGATGTCAGCACTATATAAACTGTCTTCCTAAGATCCGTCTCATTCCAGGTCTATGTAGGTGAAATCATTGACAAAGGGCCGTTCAAGCCCTGATTCAGGCATTCTGCTTCAAGCTTGGGATGTACATCTGCTGCTGTATGCACTTGCACCCACACACACACACATGCACCCTGACAAAGCTGAGCAGAGGGTTGATTCATACACCCGAAAGCATGGCATAGTCATCCCAGTTACACTACACAAGCTCCTTTTTGAAAGGATAAAGTCTCCAAGGGGCTGCAGGGTTCATTCTCAGTTTCCAGGGAGTTGGAAACTAAAGGGCGGAAATCTTTGGAGTTGACACGCTTGTGTTTCTTGCAATAGACGCCGACACCTGCTTCAGATCCCATGCTACAGATTTGTTGAGCTTCGTTGCCAACCCATAAACCAAACCTCAAAGTTTGCCGGCACGGGTGTCCAGTCCCCAGCTTCATGGCCGCAAGTTGGGTTGAGATTGGGCTGCTAGCCCATGGGAGGCAGACAACCTGCGGCACGTGTGGTGCCAAGCCTTGCCCAAACCGAGTGCTGTTCGTCTTCGCATTCTTGCTTCTGAAGCAAGTGCAACTGAATGAAGAATTAGCCGCATTAGCCGTTCGGTCTGCAACAAAGGATTCATCCTCTAGCAATCAGGGCCTGGAAGCCTCTCTTCGAGAGAACCCCGAAAAATTAGGGAGGGTGGGACATCTCTGCAAGTCCAAACCCATAACCTTGAACTGCACCCAAACCTAAGCCTTCGCCTCACCCTAAAACCTTTCGAGAAACCCAAACTCTCCTAAACCGCGCTCTGCTCGGCTTGTTTCTCCTGCGCGCACCGCTGTCCAGGGCTCTCCACTCGCAGGCGGTGCATGGGGCTCGGAATGGCTGGCGAAGCCTTGCTGCTGCAAGGGACTTGGTGATGCCGGCGGTAACAGTGCCAGTAGGCATGGTGGTAGCGGTGCCAGTGGTGCTGGTGCTGGTGCTGTTGCTAGTGCTG